TCCCTGGTCTATCAGCTTCCATGTATCCATCGAGATCCATTCCTTATCTTCTTTCTCCTTTCTTCCCAATACGGTTGTGCAGGTTTCTTTCCACATCTCTCTCAAAGACTTCCAGTGTTCATCCACACAGGTTTCTTCAGGGATCTCCCTCAATATCTCCCATTTTGTCTTGATGGCTGACTGACGTGAGGATGTGCTTTGTAGTTTCGTCCTTCAGTTTCCGAGTGTTGTACTTGAACTGTGGTCTATCACCAGTTTCCTTGAAGGCTTTCAACTTGATTTTGAAGGTTCCTTGCACTAGATAGTGGTCTGAGCCTACATCTGCTCCTCTTCTTGACCTTGTGTCAAGTGGGCTGAGTTTCCACATTCTTGAGATTGATATGAAGTCTATCTGATTTTTAGTGTGTCCTGATGTCTGATGAAACCAAATCCATGTCTCTTTGTGGATATCCTTGTGTTTGTACGCACTGCATGACTCCAATCACCAAATCGTTGAATGCACAGAATTCTGCAAGCAATTCTCCATTCTCGTTTATTTCACCTAGCGTTTCTCGGCACATGGTTAGTTCTCTTCCGTGTTCTGTTGTCCGCTCCCAGTTTGGCATTGATGTCGCCCATCAGAATTTTGATATCGCCAACTGAGGTCTTGTCCAGTGTTGATTGAAGTTGTCTGTAGAATTCCTCCTTTTTCTCATGCTCTGCATTATTTGTAGGTGCATAACATTGTATGATTGTGACCTTCCTTCCTTTTGAGTTGAATCTTGCTGTCATGATCCCGATGCTGGAGGAGATTGGTTCCCACTGCATGAGAGCCTTCGATGCTGTTAGGGACATCATGATAGCCATTCCGAATCTCAGTGTGCTCGGGGTTGTCGTCTGGGTGACAATATCGGAGTAGATTATTGACTCTGCAGTTAACAGTTTGGAGAGTCCACTTCCATTCCACCTGCTTTCGCAAATTCCTAACACTTCAGTGTGATACCTTCTCATCTCGTTTGCATTCTATGCAGCCTTGGTATATTTGAAACATTGTTGGGACATTCCATGTCCCCACGTTTACTTTTGCTTTCATCGAGAGAAGACACATCAGCCAACTGGCTTCCCGAAGGCTTTCACCAACCGGCGTCATTTCGCCTCTCCGATTCCGACGAGGAATAAAATAAGTTTAATTTTTTTATTTTTCATATTTTGTTTGTGCTTTGAATTTTCTTTAGCGGTTAGATTTGTTTTGCGGGGTAGGGTTGCTAGCCCTATTCCCAACCTTCCTTCTTTACCCGGGCTTACGACCGGCTAGTAACTAGTGAACTAGTTAACCAGGCTAAATCTACTTTATAGAAACAGGAATATCCTCAAGCAGTAAATTGTAAGAAGAGCTACTGAGCGTTGAGAAAGTACTGCCAAACAGCGGTTGTCTATAGTAGTTTGTCAATAGATGTGGGAAATTTGAAGACGATAAGATTGATAAAATTACATTAAACAAGAAGTTAGCTTTAATTAAACAACTTCAAAGGTGACGATGACAGACGGTTAGTCAACAGAACGCTGAAAATTAAACTTAAGCCAATTTGATCTTTCTCTACAGAACAACATGCGCCGTAGTACAATCAAAAGTCGACCAGTGTTATTATCACATGTAACAAGTTTAGATGGAAGGAAAAACTAAGAGTCAGTGATGTAGATTCGTTACTTTTAACTTGTCAATACTTATCTTTAGCATAGGCAACAAAGCAACTAGATGCACTAACCACTTCTGTTACTTGAGAAATTGCATTAGTCCTGATTTGCTATCGGATAGAAAAGGTTCATTAAGTCTCTGCTTACTTACGTTATCCCTAGCACTAGCGATATACACGACCTCTTATCCAAGGAATCTCATACTGCGTTACAGTCCCCTCCGTCCTTCTGTACCGGTTTAAGACATCGCCGTTAACGGTAGAAGACATTCGGAGGGTACAGAGTTCTGATCATCGGTGTTGGAGAAACACTGTTCGCATATGGTTAAAGTACAGTGGGCAATATATGGAACAAGCAAAAAAGGTGGTTAGTAAAGCTTCAACAATCGAGATTCCACGTTAACTTGTTTCTGTTTTTGCCTTTATTTTGAAATCTTCATCCATCGCTTCATATTTCCCGCTTACTTTATTACTCATTATCACTTTCGAGCTCCCGATTCAACTTACACTTAAGTTGCTATTTTTTTCATCATGCTTAGCATCGTATAGTACATATGCATCTTCAGGAAATGATCTTTGTGGGACATGCCGAGCAAATTATGAGGTTAGCCACACTAGGTTTTTACATCCATCTGTGAATTTTCGAACACCTTCTCTACACACACAAAAAAGGATAGGTTTCATTGGTGCCTGTTTTTCCCAATAAGCATATCGAAAAACACACGTGTAAAAATCGATTTGTAATCAGAACCCAAAATGCATCTATTGAAGGATAATGCGTAGCAGGCATGCTTTCTGTCTGTGCTCAATTTCTATTATTTAAAAAGTACAAACATTGCAAACGCACAGAAGTTACAAAATATACTCATGAGTGTCGAATGTATGCACGAAAATAGTGATACTTCTTGAATAACGGAGAATTCATTACGGCACACATAATTCCTACCAACGTGCCACTTTATTCATCATGTTTCTCGTTTTTCTGTTCGGAAGGTTGTCAGTCAGTCAGCATCGACATGTAACCTGGCAGTATTGCATGACGTTTGGAGCAGCCGCACCTCACATCAGAACATCGAAAGACTGACTCGGAAACTCATTAATCATTAAATGATCATCAAATATCTCAGCTATTGTTGTAATGCAACTAGCTACTCATAAAACCAAAATCTAATAAAACTTTACAAACTTCAGTATTATAAATAATTCCACTTGCGTTCCATGAATATACAAGATATAGAGGATAAATTACGCTCAAGCGGGTAAGTAGTAGCATCATAATCAAGTGGTACATGAGTGTGTAACTGATAGGAAACCATCGTGTCGTTTATGAAAACGTACTTGCCCAACAACTAGTATGCAATTCTATGGCGCACAAACAGTGACAACCAAGTTACTGGTACAAATATGATCATAATATCAACTATTCTTAGCTTTTCCTATGTCCGAAAGGAATCGAATAAAAGTGTGCTTCTTTATATTCAGTGCAGATTATCTACCACTATTCAGTGGTAGTCAATCAACATCAAAATTTGACCTACAATCACTACTTAACAATATTTGTCCCTCACTTCGTATCATCACAACACCAAAATACAACACTACATAACAATAGAAAAGCGAACACGTAATAAAAACCCATAAAAAACCACAGAGCGGAAATAAAAGGGCTCACACCAAATAATGAGATACGATATTACGGTCTAGATGAAGATAAGACCTCAGTGTATCTGTGTCACTTCAGCCTACTCTCAGCCATATCACATAGAGTCTTTAACCATCGCATGAGACTGTCTCAGTAACCCTAACTTGTATAGTCAGCTCACGACAATAGTCGTGAACTTCATAGACTGGCACCATTTTTTAGTCTGGTCACTATTAACCTTTCATCGACTGAAACCTATTTCAGGTAAAATCGCACAAGGATTTACACACTGACACATCTTAGCCACTTAAATCAATCAAACTTCACAATCTCACCAGTCAGCATACCCCTTTTACCTAAAACCTGGAGAGGATTTACCGATATTAGATTGCCTGATGAAACAAAAACATGACAGTTTACATACTAGGGACTATGGGAAATATTTCTATTCTAATCGCTATTTAGACTACAAATCATTGCACTTCACGTTAGTTCATACAGACTCAGCAACATATCAAAATAACAGGGCCAGAAGCTCACTTGTAAGACAGAAGATCTAATACACACTAAGAATATCTTACTCATCAATAGTTATCCTCCTGAACTGATCAATAAATTAGTAAGAAGTTATAAGAAAGATATTACAAGTAGTTGTAATGGAAATATTAACGAAAAAACTACGAAGACAGAATTCCAATCCTCTACGGTGCTAACACAAGGAAAGCAATTCCGAGATCACATACAATTCTCAATAAAGCTTATATTAGAGCGGCATTTAAACCCAACTCAGAAACAAGCTACAGATCAAAATAAGAAAATAGTTCACTAAACCTCATACAACTATTGCGAGGTTATAGTAATCAACTAGGGTCAAGTCGATGGTTCGAGCTCAAAAGCTTATCTAAATCAAGATTAGTAGACCCTAGTAAGATAAGGAATCTGGAGAAAACCTTGGTTATAGCTTTGTATGCGATTACACAAAATCACACAGTGGGACTGAGTAGGAGAACAGAACTGAAGACTAAGTTATTTGGGTAGGTGAAGAGATTGATTATAGAATCTTTTTTGCTCATCAAATCACCACGAAATACGTGAAACAGGAATGATTCAGCACCTGTACAAGATATATGGACGTTCTACCCTTCAAATCACAAAGGAGGAGAGAAAATCAGAACGATGTAGATGTACCTGGAAGTTATAAAGTTATCTTGATACAGTTATCAGCAAAACATTGCTGTCAAATTTTAATCAACTAAATACTGCTGTTTCGTTGTGATATAGATGCTAAGTCAACTAAAATGGAACTAAATTCCAGTACTTTATTGAAGTTTAAATATTATAACACTCTGAGGTACTATAGCTGATATTCGCTAATTTATGAATAGATTTCTGTTCTTTCTATTTCTTGATCACTTAGTTCATAAAAAGCAGGACATTTGAAAAAATGAAGATAAATTTAATTCTCAACGTCAACAGTAAGTTGGTTTAGTGTGTTACTATCAAAAGAAACTGTGTTACATAAAACTAACTACATTGCAAAGAATGATAACAGAAAGTGAAAAAAGTCTTGAACTGCAAAGGAATTCAAGGCACCAAATTTAGGATTATAAATCCAACGCTCTTCTGAAGTAACCAGAACACCCAAGTGTTTAAGTAAAAATGAATATATGAACAATATTTCTTACCGCTTTGCAAATGACTAACTGCGTTACTGATATTGTTATTATTACTGGTAGTAATATCACAATCCATACTGACAGATTTATGTCCTCTCCATTTCTTTTTATGATCAAGTGGTGATGGAACTTCAGGTATTTTATCGTCGACAGGATCATTTGTAGACGAGGTTGTGTGAATCGGTGTCTGCTTATTTGGTGTATATTGTGGTGTTTGTGTTCGACTTGGTAGATCAGCTAAACAATTGGTCAACATATGAACCAATGCCTTACCATCATCAGATAAAGCTGCATGGAACTGAAAAACTAACAGGCTGCCGATACCAGATGATCCAGACCGTCGACAGACAAATGGATTTACACCCCTTTTGTTATACGTATTATTGTATTTATTTGCAACGCAGTTCTTTGGTTTATTCAGTTTTGTAGAACCATCCTTTCCTATGTTATTGAGAGGTTCACGACTAGACTGGAATGTTTTACATGCATTGGATTCATCTGAATCTGCGTCACTTTCAATATCCGACGGTTCTGTAGTATCATCACTCTGCAAAGACAAAAAAACAAGTGTACAATGGCAGGACTATCAAAGGATCCTTAGACTAGTAACTCAAGAAAGCTAGTAAAATAGCCCGAAAGTAATTTTGGTACACTGTAATGTGTTATGAAACCTCCTTACAACAACAACTTGCATAAAGGAGCAGATGTAATAAATACCTATTGAGATAGATAATGTGAAAAAATAAAACTCTGATTATCCGCATGCTTTGAATACTATTCATTCTTGATGCATTACTGAGATGGAGAATGCCAAAATTAGGAACAGGGTTTGGAGTAAAGTTATTACGTCAGTATGTGAAACCATGAACACCAAACCAATTGTTCAGTTTTAACATGTTCAGTTTTTGTCCACCTCATTACATCATTTGGTCTCGCTCAATGCTGCCCTTACAGTAATTTCAACTAGTTATTATCAACCTGAGATGGGAAACTATAAAATCAGTCACGTTGGTGAAAACGTACTGAGCGTCCACGTTAAGCTAAGCCTCAAGTATATGATTACTTGAGTCAAATTTATGTTCATTTATATGATGATCTTCAAATCTTCCGTAAATTACTTTAGTATTTGATTTCCCTTATGTTGAAGGGGCAAAAACTGACCAACCAATGCGTAAGGTTGTTTGCTGATGTATTCATTCATTCAGTTAATTGGAAGTTATGTTATCAGCAGCATCATTTATACCTTGACAGTGTTTTGGTAGTTAGTAATCACATTTACTTGATAAAAAGTATATTATAAGCATAAGTGAAAAACTTGGGCACTGTGGTAGAATGTAGTTCCATATTAGATTTGTTTATTTGATATAAAGCGCACAGTGATACAGTATTATTCAATTATTATTATTTATTTATTATTATTATTATTTAATTATGATTATTTAGTCAATTAAATAATACTGTATCACTGTGCGCTTTATATCAAATAAACAAATCTAATATGGAACTACATTATTAGCAGTTTTGTTAAAAACACTAGAACTGAAAAATCTATGTCCTGTTACTCCAACACCAAATGGGTAATTCAGTTAAATGTGGCGACAGTGTAAAGTAGTTTAAATCTTACCCCTTTAAAGAAATTCAGTGGGTTCAAGAAGTTATTACAATAGAAAAAGTGTTACATCCTTAGAATAATTACTCATTAGTCACTGTTATAAGGAAACCTTTAATTGAAAGATGACTAAACACGTGTCTTTATAATTCTAATTAGTGATATGAATCGCTAAGAATAATCTTGAAATCAGAATATTCACATTGTTGATTACCACAAAGGGTAGTGTTTGCTTACTGATAAACAGCATCCATTCAATTACAAAATGATTTTCAATTTTGTTTGAGCTCATACTCATCGTAAACCACGTTAACATGCAAATAGTACTCATTCATGGGGAGAAAAAAATAAACACTGCAAAGTACGCTTGTGAGCATACATCCCGCAATGCGGTTATTAAAATTATTTACATACACTGTTCAATTTTGATATTCAAACGCAACTTGTCAACCACACCATCATTGATCTTTAAAATAACATTAAAATGATTATATATATATATATATATATATATATATATATATATATATATATATATATATATATATATATATATATACGTTTTCTGAAATTACAGACATTAGTCAGTGGAGTCACGCTGAAGCACACAGAGTGAAAAAATGAACAAATCCACCTTGTATTAGAAACATAATCATTCACTGACCATTGTATTTTTTTTAAATATTGAGCCTATTCAAAAAGCATATTTTAAGGAGGATGAAATCTGATATTATAAGTTATGCACCGATTTTACGAGCATAATTCACTATCATCACACTCCCTCTAAGTCATAAACACGCAGACAGACGGTGACTTCCAAATGCAAAGAATTAAAATTTATACAAACGCAAAGCTTCTGAAAATGAATTCCATAGAAAGGATTTCCAGTAGTATGCAAGAAAATCAAGCGTAATGTTACGTCATTGAGCTACGTTCATACAGGAAATAAAAATTGATAGATATGTGAGGATAAAAGGTAAATAGTATTGTTGATTTTATCCCACTTTTCTTCCTTTCACTTTGGCCTACGTGCCTGCCTTATTTTTGAAATACGTTGCTTACTGTATGTGTACATTACCAAAATCCAACGTTGCTGCGAAAAAATTACCGAAGCTTTCTGGCTCTGATATTAATGCAAGTGGAATTATACTACTGACTTAGACTGAACCCATAAAGTGGTAAACACAAAGTACTTTTATAGTGATCAAATGAGGTAGTGAGTATTTCATTCCAAGAATTTGGGATTCTGTTTAGCTCGTTTGAAACTTAAAACCACCCACCCAGAAATACACATAATTTGTCGGGTTTTGCATTGATTAATGCTGACAGATATGAGTATGTAAGGACCAAATTGCAACGTTTCGCATCATCATAGAACAGAGTATAGAATGGCAGTCAACTCAACTATACCTCAACTTCGTCGACTTTGAAAAGGCTTTTGACAGCGTCGACCGAGAAGTAATTTGGCAGGCAGTTGCTTCAACACTACGGAATACCACAAACCTTCATCAATCTCATTCAACAACTTTATGAAGACGCCATATGCCAAGTAATTCACAATGGGAAGCTCAGTGATACTTTTGAAGTGAAGACAGGAGTAAAACAAGACAAAGCTGTCTACTACTACCCATGATATTCCTGATTGTAGTCGACTGGATCATGCAACAAACAGTAAGGAGCTGTGAGAAGAGTGGGATACACTGGACCACGGAAAAGAACCTAGAAGATTAAGATTTCGCCGATGACTTGAAGATCTACAGGCGAAAACGAACAAGTTGACAGAAGAGGCTGGGCAGCGAAGACGGGACTTCAAGTGAACGTACAGAAGACGGAGGTGATGATGATACCCAACCAACAACACCACCACCAACAACAAACTCCAATCACCATCAACGGGATAAACTTAAAGGAAGTAGTATTCTTCACCTATCCAGGCAGCATCGTTTCAACCACAGGTGGCGGCACAGACGAGGACGTCAAAGCCAGTCAGGATCGGTAAAGCAAGACAGGCGTTCATTAGCCTGAAACCAGTGTGGAGATCTTTTGCACTCCACTCAGTATGTGGAACAACATCCGGATTTTCAACATCAACGTCAAATCAGTGCTTCTGTATGGCTCAGAGACCTGGCGCATCACGAAAGGCATTTCCAACAAACTACAGATATTCATCAAGATCTGCCTACGCTGGCTCGTTACTGAAGATCAGATGGATTGTCAGAAAGAATGAGCAACAAGGAACTCTGGCTAGCTGGCAACGAACCAACCAAGAACCTATCATCCAACAAATATGCAGAAGGAAGTGGAGATGGATTGGGCATATACATTCACTGAGAAGGCCGACTGAGGACATCACGTGCCAGGCCCTCGAGTGGAACCCTGATGTGAAGCGACGAGTTGGGCGTCCGAGGTGAGGGTGACATGGAGGAGATCGTGCGAGGAGGAAATGAGAGCTTGTGGGCTGTAGTGGAACCAGGTTCAAAAGATTTCAGAGAATAGAGCGTATAGGAGACGTGCTACTGACGCTCTATGTTCCATTAAGAACCCAAGGGACAAATATTGATGATGATGATAATAATAATAGATATGAGTTATTCGCGCACGATAGTCAATAATTTACGCAATATTAACAAACGAAAAAGTGTTAGTACTGTAATGATAATTGAAGACAAGTCAAATCTACGAAAAGGAGAAGAAAACTGAAGCTATATGATACAAACATAGTCGCTGTCTATACTCAAAAGATAAACAACAACCATTTCCGTTTACGTTCATCTTACAGTAAGAGAAAGCAAAAATGCATGAACAACAAATCTGCAAAGGATGATTCAACAAGTTGAAAAAAACACTTATCTCTATAATAACTTGCTATAAAACAGTTTTGCATCCGTTCAAATAAACGTTTGTCTTGTAATTACCATTACTATTCGGCAATTTATCAGTTTGTTTATTGTTCGATATCTGTTCAACTTAGCAGAAAGCCACAGAACTTACTAACGTACGTATGCATATCAACGCACTAAAACTGAATGTTTTTCGATTGTTTATACCTAGAAAGATAAGGCAAAGTAATTCATATGCTACATTTGCTTGTTTATTTATTTTCTGCTTGTCCTTATTTTCTTTATTGCTTAAAACATGCAAGGAAATATAAAAAAACTAAGCAGACTGACTGAACCCATGAAATGATGATACAGGTTACATCGACTAGTATGGTCGATTGAACTTCTGTCCAAAAATTGGGGTGGAAATAAGAACATGCTACCACTAGCTTGTTTGTTCTTCTTTTTTTCACCTTAAATTGCCTAATCATACGCTTGTTGAATGAAATAAGTTGCCCTAGTTATGTTTAGTCAATAATAATGCATACCTTTCTAAGAAAATTCTTTCATAAGCTGTTAAACTAATTACTATTACAGGTAGTTTTAGATAACTGTATTTCAGATGCATCAAAAGTGTAATGACAAGTTTAATATCTTCGACTTTACAACCAATGATGTCAACCTGGAATCAAGGATGAAGAATACATTTCCTCTATTCTGCAAATGATGAGTAGGAAAATAAATGAAGCTAGTGTGTTAAAAAAAGCTCAACACAAGGCGTCAAAGAGATGATATTTTAAGCTCTATCAAGTATTGTGAACAAGCATAGAAGTGCATATGGTCGTAAATGAACACATTCACAGACAGCTTTTAGATACCGCCTTTCTGGAGCATAGTAGCACGAAAAGTACCTGAATAAATAACTGGTTTAGTAAAATTTTGATTGGGAACTGAAAGACATAGAGAAAATCATAACAAGACAATGACTGTATCTTAAATAAATATGTTGGCTATAAACTAGACATTCTCAAAAGTAAATTAGTTATCAAAGATAATCTCGATACTTCTCAAACATTTTTAAAAATAACATATTCATTAGAAAGAATGTTAGAGTTCAAATGATGCTTCATGATCTTTTAGTACAAACCACCCAAAAATATTTAAACAATCGAAACCTAGCAGCAAACGGGACTACATTTCGAGTTTGATAACCACTTTGTTCGCTAACCATACAGACTTGCTGGATACAATGCAAGCTTCATGTAAGATTTCAGGCGACATTATTTAATAATGCTTAGATTTTCAATAAATTTCAGGGTAATGTTTAGCAACACGTTTCGGGAGGGCCTGCTTACAACGTCCACTATAATCAGCTCCGGTTTGGCTTACAAAAGGTGAGCGAAGAAAAACGTTATCCATATGTGAACACCTAGTAGAGTTGGGTCACTCAGTACCTCGAGACCCATCCTTTAAGGTAATTTAAAAAGTTA